AATAAAAAACACGAGACAAGACAAGGACATGAGGAGCTAAGCAGGGAAGATAAGGGAGAGGAGAAGAGAAAAGTGCGACCGCCTTCGCTGAGAGCCCAATGAGAAGGGAGTCTCAGAGGCAGACACAATTTTATAAAGTTTTGTGAGGATGGTGGACTGAGTAATAAACAGAGAGGGAGTGGAACAGCGGAGAGTGGGAAAGGCAGGGGAATTATTTTGTTCTAGAGGGACAGCAAGAGAGAAGAGGGCGAGCAATAACAGGAGAGCAGGAGAAGAAAGAAATGCAAATGACATCACGGCAGCTTTAATGTATGTTGCACATAATCTATGAGATTATAGGAAATCATGTATATCCTGGTCCTTACAGTCGAGTAATTCAACTATTTTACACTGTAAAGCAAAAGTGCCATTACACTGTCCTTCAGCAACAAAGTTAAAATAGTTGCTGTGACAAAAGAAACATTTGTATATAAGCATGTCAGCGTGTGGTGACATCACGATCCAAATAAACATGCTGGCTTTTCTCCGAGTGCTTTAAGAATAAATGGTACCAATCTCCCATGTTTGCGAGTTCGTTTGTTTTTTAAACAGTAAAAATAAACAAATAAAGCCATTAACCATTTAAGACCTACCATAGAACCAAGTCCGCCAAAGCTTATCTTTATATTTTTATATGTTGCAGTGCCATTTTTGGGAGCATTTCAAGTTGCTATACATCAATACAACCGTTATAGCCCAAATTTGAATAATATGTATGCATTAAGTCCATAGTGACTACATAAATTGCAAGAAAGCACAATAAAGTACAAAAAAATTTTTAATCGCTTTTGTTTTTTTTTCCATATATTTCTTGTTAGAGACATTTAAGAGGTTTATCCCTCAAAACTGAAAATACAAGAAGTAGCACAAAATAGTTTCCAACAACAGGAAAATTTATTTTGAGGGTCTTTATAGTTTTATTTTGAGATACACCAATTTTTATATATAGCAGGAAAAACGAAAATAAATATTATAATCCAAATTTGCAAAAAAAACCCAGCATGTGCATCAAAATAAACTATTTCCAACAGTTCAGTTTGAGTTCTAAGCATCCCAGAAAGTATTCAGAAAAGCATAAAGTCAAACACGACTTTTAAAAAAACCAATACAGGCTTATGAAGCCCCGAAGGTAAAAAAAAAATTACATTATCCGCAAAAATTACGTCACTTCCGGTTCCGGGCAAGTAATGGCGGATGTCCATTCGAAGTCGGAAGTGTTTTGAATAGCTGATTGGATTGGTAAAGCTTGTTTCTGGAATATTATGTTTTTGTTGCTGCAAGTGCTTTTTATGCGATTTTTGCAAAGCTATATGTGGAAAGAAACCATGACCTAAGGCAAGCTGATGGTATAGCATATAAGTACAACTCCTCCGGTTTCATGTGAAAAAAAATCATTGCGCTAGCCTATGTGGTTCCGGTTCTACAGGGATTTAAAAATAGTTACGCAAAACGGAGAATGCCCGCTCCGACCAGTTTTAAAGGGTTAAACAAATAAAGTCATATAATCATAAATGACTGGACCTGCAAGGTGGAAAACTGAAGCCTAATAGGTTTATTTACAATGAAACAAATATATAAAATGAACTGGTGAATTAGTGGAGAGCACCACCCTAAGGTGGTGTTCTGGGAGAGAGTACTCAATGACTGGCAGGGAGGAAACAAAATCAAATGCTTTGAGAGAAATTGGGAGTTGTTCTTACTCAATTTAGAAACACGGCTGAGACGGAGTCTGTAGTGAACAGGTACGTATTTTGGTGTGGGGCTCTGACAATCGAGGTTTGCAAGTAGGAGTATGAGAGGATATTAACCAGACCAGACATTTAAGACTAGAAAGCAAAAAACTGGAGGACAACCACCATCAGGCAGAGAAACATTGGCACAGCCAATCTTTAAATACAATCTACGTGTTAATTAGATTCCCACATTTTCACCTAAAGGCCAAGAATAAAACAAAATCACCCAGCCTGCCCCAGATTAATGATGGTGATGATAATAGTGATGATGGTAACAGTACATATATGCACATTTCTTGTAGTTCATCAGCTGATATCCATGATCGAATAGTTAAAAGAAACATGCAAGCCAAGGATGGAGTAAGGAAAGAATTCAACAAGAGAAGCAAGATTAAGGTGAGTTTTATAGGCTGACAGAAAATAATACAGACTCTCCATAGTTGCAAGGATGCTTTAAAATTAAATCATCTTTCCCCAGAAACACTTCACTGAAGACAGTTTCAAAGTGTTCACAGTGAGCTCCAAAGAGTTCCTAAAAGGGAAGCATCTAAATCCAGAAGAGACTGGTAGGTGAAGTCTTGATGCACATGTTGTTTTAGTTTGCTCTGACTGAAAGAGGAATTATGTAATTTGAATTAAAGTGTGTAATGTCAAACTGTGGCACTGAAATTTCTTCTCAACAGAAATAACCAAACTTAAAGGATTTTTGCAAGATCTCAATGACTGTCACTCAGAGACAGTAAACTATGTGAATGGAGCTTATGGGATTCTGTCTTTGATTGAAGGTGCCAAGCGCAGAAAAGAGGTCAGGTCAAGTTATCTGTGGAACAATATTTTAATGACAAATTTAAAACTTCAAATGTTTCCATAACTCTGACACCTAACAAAATTTTAGTTATCAAAATTTCTTGACAGGCACTGAGTGACAACATTTCAAAATGATGAATAAAAAAAAAAGAGTTGTATTTATGTTATTACTCCTTTAATAAAAAATAAATATACTATTTTAATTTCAGGGTGTTGGAAAAGCAGATGATGTATGTAAAGTCCTTGAGAAAAACATGACAGAACAACTTGATCAAGTGAAAAAAGCTGTAAAAGAAGCGATCAAGGATTTTGAACAATGTCTTACAGAAGGGGTTAAAAATTCCAAAACCTCTGAAGAAAGACTGAGATTTTTTTTGGACCGTGATGTATGTATCTGAATTATAATTAACATCAAAGCAACAGATTTTGCACTTTATATGAGCATGTGTTTAGAAATGGTTTCCTGATTTGTTTCAGAAACAGCCTAGTTTTTTCAAGACACTAGAGGCTGTGGTTAGAAAAGACGGCATCCACAAAACAAAAAAAGGGGAACACATAAATCTCAACACAATATTAGCTTCATGCTTGACTGACAGCATTGATGAAAAATTCAGAAAGACCTTCCCGTAAGAATAAACAAATATTAAACTGTACCATATTAGACTATACTTAAAATGATTAAAACAAACTTGTCAATACTGCCATCATCAAACATTTTTTCAGAAATGATGTTAAAGGCGGATCTTTCAATGGAGTCATCAGTAGATTTTCACTTGACACAAAATCGCTGATTCAAAAATACCAAGATGTCAAACTGCAGCTGATATTTCTCCAGACAGAGGTACGACATGAAACTATCCAGTTTGTCAGTTTATTATAGCAGAATTGACCTATTCCCTCTACAAATACTAATTCTGTTTATTAACTCATCCGTGTTTCATGTTTTTAAGGAGGATAAAATTAAGGCAAAACTCAACAAAATAATCCTAAAGGGGAAGAAAATCATCTACAACAGTCTAACAGAGACAATTGAGAAAAACATGAAAAAGTGCTATGAAGGTAAGAAGATTGTCAACTTGTCACTGTAATAAATCACAATTGTCCATAAAAAATGTTTTGACAAAGTTTATTTTCTTCTTGTAGACGCACGGAAAATTTCAGGGAATGATGCACTGAAAAAAATGAGGAAGACTATTGAGGCACATGTATCCTTAAATAGGAACATTTATGAGGACGCAAAAAAGACCGTGTTGGAGAAGATGAATATATTGATGGTTTGTCAAATCATAACATACAATGAGACCAAGTTGTGTTTGTCTATATTTGAGTGCTTTTGCTCAGTCTGAACAGTCTCTAAACATTAGTGAGGCTGCTGTTAACATTTGTATTTTTCAGCATTACAAGGATTTTGTCTGCAATGATGAGTTGAACTGAAGAGCTTAAAGCATGAACTGGCCACAAGAGCTCTAAACAATCACCCACCCATTAATCCAGATGTTTCAGTTGTTTTAAACCTCAACATTTGACTCTGTGAAAAGTAATAAAAGCTCTGATGTTTAACTAGATGATCATCTGCAAGGAACTGAAGGAAACCATGGACCACTCCATTAAACTCTCACTTAAGGCATCAGCTTTGAGTGAGAGTCTCCCAGGTAAAGAAAATATAGGCTATGAAAGTAAATCATGTATGTTGAACAATGCCAAACACATGTTTTTAATTATCTATTTGTTTGTTTGCTTTTCAGATGTTTCAGAGCATCTTGAAACTGTGCAGCAACATTACAATGAAGGTAAGCGCAGTCAAGAGGGAGAAATGACATCACAGTAACCAGGTAAATATTTAAATGTTATTTCATGTTACTTTAACAGTTCCTGTGAATTCTCAAAGAAAAGGGGTGAAATCTGACAACAATCCTAAGCACCTAAATATACAGTAACTTTTAATTTTTTAGTGTTTAGTGTCAATAATAAGTTCTTCATAATTTAAAGATCAGAAATAGCCATTTTAAATTACATATGGCCATTTGAACTGACCATTTGTATTTTCATCAGCTAGAAAGAACCCAGCTGGTTCTTATCTAACATTGTACCAGGTAATGTTATGCAGTGTTAAAGTATGACACCACAATGTTATATCTACTTTAAAAGAAATTTACAAGAAGCTGCTAAACAACTGCTAACAGTGGTGACACCAGAAGCACTATCAACATAAAAGTTCAGAACATGCTCAAAAACTTCCCTGAATATTGTCCACAGTCTTTGGACAGAAGTGACTTATTGGCTCATATTGGACTGACAGCTGAGGTAAACATGCTGAATTTGTTATTGCTGAGCACAGACGAAGTATTTGAATAATATCACCACTTATAATTTGTGTTATTTTACCCTTTTTACATCCGAGTCACCTCAAACATGTTAAAATAAAGTGTTTCCAAAAATGATTTTCTACACAAACAGTAACAGAAACAACTGATATTAGGATTTTCTATTCTAGGCTGAGGAGCTTTCAAGACATTTTAAAGTAAATTTTAAGTACTGACACTTGTACTGTTTGCCTGAGCAGCTGAGTGTTAAAAATCTTTGTGCTTATTATTACTGGATGTTTCAGATTTGCTCCACACAGTAACAGCAGAAACCTGATGACCCACTCAACATCTCTGAGGGAACACTGACCAAAAGCACGAGGTCTCTGGATATCACCACAGACAATTTTGTGAAGTTGTGTTGCCTGCTGTCTTTGAATGTTGTGTTTGACTTTTAATGAATTTAATGAAATTAGAATTTTTTAGTGCATGTGGGTTAGGTTAAATGGTGATTTTGAATATAGATGTGTATCTGAGCATTGTTGTTAACGCCAATTGTGTTTCTCTGTTAGCCATGCAACAGAGTTATTATAGTTTTGTATTTTGTCATTAAGTTTTATTTTATCTATTTGTGACTTTTTGTTTTTATTTCAGTTTAGTTTCAGTAAGTTTCAAGGCTGTTTTTGTTTCAATTTTTTGTTTGAAAATGTTTCGTTTTAGTTCAGTTTTATTACCTTTATACTTTTTTTTTTTTTTTAATTATTGTTGTACTTAGTGCAAATGTCAGAGGCATAACTGAGGAAAACCAGTACAGGTATTACAATAGAAACGATTCACTTTTTTAAAACAGTTGACCCACTTGTCTTGTACATGTCCAGTTTCTCAAACACATCCATCAATAACATGTCAGGCACATTGTAATAACATTTTTACCAAACTAACAAATACTAAAATGAAGGCTATTTTCTCTAGAAACTGATTTGTATTTCAAATTAGTTTCTATAATTAATTTCTGTTGTTTTTTGTTTTTATTTAACTAAAATATTCATATCTAGTTTTTACTTTAGTTTTATTTGAGTGGAATAACCTTAGGAACCTGTTCAGGGTGTACTCTGCCTCTCGCCTGACAACTGAGAAAGGCTCCAGCAACCCTGGATTGGATAAGCAGAAGAAAATGGATGGATTGAGAATTTTAAGTATTAATTCCTCCCAGGGGTATTCAGGTTTTAATTGTGAGGGTCTAAACTAAATGGCCAGCACTCTGTCCAAAAATGTTTTGGTCTCTTTTTTCTCCCTTTTGTCATATTTGTTCATTATTTGTAGACCCTAGTTATACAGAAAATTAGATACAGCAGTAGAACTACAATGTTACAAATTTTAATTTTAGTGCCTTAAACCACAGGAATACTGTGATATTCAGACTCTTTTCAGGTTTAAGGATTCAATTTATGTTTTTCTTTCAATAGCAGATTTTCTTTCCGTTGTAGTAAATTTGAATTTTACAATTTAATGTCTCTAGTCATGATTCATTTATATTCATGATGCATTTGTCAGTTTTATTCTTGAGACCTTTAGCACATGACTTATGTATACCATGTTCTTACATTTCTAACATGAATATTATTTAGTGTAATACAATGGTTTAATTTGGTTGTCACATGAGAAATAAAGCAGCAGCAAAAAAATAAGTCTCTGCTTCTGCTTTAGCTATTATATCATATTGTTTTCTGTTGTTTCTATTCTGTATTGATTCTATAGTTGTAAGATGGAAACATGATTTTTCAAATCCTGATCTTGTTTTCTCTGACACTAAAAATAAGCTACCTGCCAAAAAGTATTTTGCACCACCACAGTAGTTTGTAACATACAACAAAATTATCTATGAATTGTAAAGACTGAACCACAAACCAAGTCAAATGATTGTGGATCCTGCTTCCTCTGAAGGTGTTCTTGTCTGGGTGGCCTTATAGGTCATCTACAATCCCCCAGTCACATGTCTTATCAGCAGCTGTGTACCTGGTAACTAACTGGGTTAAAGTTTAGTGGCCTGTAAAATAGGGCCCAAGGATCTGTTAACTTTTATAGCCAAAGTAACCTTTTATAACCTTTTATGTGATATTAAAATATTACAGGTGTCATCGACCTGGGTCTGAGCGACCCAGGGTCCACGAGCAGTTGTTGTCTCATTTTATATATTTTTCTGCACTGTGCTGCCTTTCCCAAGCATGTTCATGCTTGTGTGTGTATAGGGAGGTGTGTCTGTGTGTGTGTGTAGCTGTGACAGGCACCTTCAGGCTTGGTGGGTGTGGCCCTGCCAGGTTGCTGGCCACACCTGAAGATCATCACACACACCTGGAGCTGATCAAGCCTCGTTGGGCAGCTACTTAACAGTGTGGCTGAGCGCTCCTTGACGTGGGATCATTGTGTGAAACGCCACGTCAGTTTCCTAGAGTTACAAGTTCAGTGTGTATATGCCCGCCGTTATAAAGTGTCCTGACGGCTGCCTCTATTATTTTCCCCCCATGAGGAGCGTGGAACGGTAGAGGGCAGCAAGCACGGAGACTGCAGAGACACGGGAGCGGAGAGCACTAACACGGACATTTTGGGAGAAGACACTGCACGGGAGTCGACGGAACGCACTGGAATGTATTGTTATGTAACATTCTCTTCACTCTTCAATAAACGCACTGCTTTCGTCGCATCTTACCAAGTGTGGTAAGAGGAAGAAGGGGGGAAGATGGGCATCCCATCCTGTTGTTTCTCTCGCATGTGAATATACTTTCCTTCATACACTTCATGTATAATCACATATATTCTACTAATTACACATGAATCTTCTGCGTTTACCAATCACAACACACTTAATATAACTTCTTTCTTAATCATACACGGTAAACTCAGAGATTCTCACATCTCTCAGACTTCCACAATCTCACGCACACAGAGAGACAAGGATGAGCAGCGTAGTCAAAAACACTCGTGGAATCTGGGTGAAAAAGTCAGGTATGAAAATAATTTCATTACCCAAACGACACTTTCTATTTCATCATGTTGATTAAATTTAAACA